GGTTAGGCATACGCAACACATGTCCCAACCACCTCAACTGATGAAGTTTCACCACTTCATCTATTGATCTGCCATTCTTACCTAGTACCCGTTTCCTAATAACAGCGTTGCTCACTCGGTTGTCCCAGGATATACGAGCAATGCTTCGAAGACACCTATGATCGAAAACCAATAACCGACGAGTATCTTCTACTCTCATTGGCCATGTTTCACAGCCATAATTTAAGACGGAGCGAACCACTGCGCAGTACACTCGTCCTTTAGTCAGCAAACGGATATCACGCCTACGCCATAAGTGACGCAGGTTGGCAAAAGCCAATCGAGCCTTCTGTATCCGTGCCGAGATTTCGTCAGTCATCAGGCCATCAGCACTGATGAGACTCCCAAGATAAGTGAAGCGGTCTACACGTTCGACCACTTCACTCCCTATCACTAGTTCAGGTGCCGATGAAACTGTGATCAGAGTAAGTCATAAAACGTTAGCTTATGAATTCATTGATTACTGTTTGTGGGTTGTACAACACAAGCAAATCAATACTATCGACTATCAGAAACAACACTGAGTAGCTGGAGCGCGGTGGAAAATAAACCCATTGTATATTTCACATTGAAACATAATTATGTTTTCATTCTATGTTCTTTTTCCTTTTCTTTTAGATTTCTATTACATTTTAGATCAATAATATTTACTTTTTGTCTTTCATTTTATTAGTAGGCTCACTATACTGTAGTGAACTATGTCAACTTGAATCAATGCTACAGTGTCAGGCTCTTACGGACAAATTATCACTCATCTTTCATCGATAGCCCTATAAGTTAGTTGCTTATAGGAAAAATTCATCGAGAAACTACAGTTAGTAACTAAATTTTATTTCAAGCAACAAATCGTTCAGGTATATTAACTTGACAGATTTAATTTGGTCAAGCTTCAGAGATTACTATACCGAGTTTCAAGCGAGTCGTATTGATAGTTGCCTAACACTGTTTCAAATAATGCAAAAGACTATTGATGAGGCTAAGTAAGTTAATTAGTTTGTTCTCCCTAACGTTGTTGTTTTTCATTGTTTTCAGAAGAATCGGTGCATTCTATAAGTTTAATACATTTTCACAAAAACAAAATAATCTTACAAATAGTAGGTTGTTTTTTTTTCATTGTTTCTAGTCCTAAGATTTACGTTGGTTTTTTGTTCTAGACTTTGAATCTACATGTTTTGAAGGTGATAGTAAACAGCCTGCTGAAATCAGTATGCTATCAATATTATTTTGCCTGATTGTTTTTACAGTTGAATTTCCTGTTGTTGTATTAGATTCAGTTACTGGTACATTGATAGATTCATTTCAAAGTTTTGTGAAACCAACAGAAAATCCAGAACTAAGTGTATTCTGTTCTAATTTAACCAGTATTCAACAAGTATGAATATAAATAAAAAAAATTTTAATAGTTTTTGTTAGCGTGATATAGAAAATGCGCCTAATTTAGCAGTTGTTTTAAAGAAATTCGAGCATTGGCTTCGAAAAACCAAAGAAACTTTAGGATGTTCATTTAAAGGTCAAGCAACAACAACAGCTATATTCGTAACATGGACTGGTTGGTTTTTGTTAATTTTTTATTTTTGTAAAATATTTACTGTAATTCACAAACTACTAAGCCAAATAAACTTATCTATATCATTGTTATGCGTAATTGTTGTAAACGAATAATGAATGTGGTAATAGTGTTTGAGTTATAATCTAACTGATAGTTCCATTTTTTTCCTCAGTAGTAGTAGTAGTGTGGTGCGAGCTACTTATAAGTAGTATATGACGTGAGTGTCAACGTAATGTCTGGCAGCAGAAGATGGGGGAAGATCAACAAGAAAGGAAGAGTTAGAACACAATGGAATTTGTATGAAACGCATGAATAGTGACAATGGATTGATGTTTTGCAACAGGAACAGTCCAGTTCGATAGGATGGACTAATAATTTGCAAATGAACGATTTACGATATGGTTTTCCGATATTACTGAGTAACTCTGTAATTTTCGTTAAATACAATGCGGTTGCCCCACCTGTGTTCTCCTTCACTACATACAACAAACACTAGCTTAATTCAGACTATTGCAAACTAAATTCAGCCGAAGCCAACTTAACAGGGAATCTTAACATATCAGTTTTTATAGACTAATTGGAGTATATTTGTTTTTACACAGCTGGGGTTGAATTCTGAATTTACTGATTATAATATTTTAAATTAAACTAAATTTAGAGATGAGGTCGCGAAATATTGTGGATTGATTAAATCTAGATATTAAAAAGTTGGATCCTGGTTCAATGGTTAGGGAGTTAAACGTTCGGGCGTGAGACCGAAAGTCCTCGGTTCGATTGCCGCTTATGGGGTCGTGGATACGCACTGTTAATGAGTCCGATATTGGAAGCAGACGGCCATTCAGTGCTTCCACGTTTAAAATGGCGCGATCTCAATCGATTCATAATTTTAGTGAAACTCAACAATCTCTCCAATCTCATAATGACAATTAGATAATGGTTGTATTAACTTTGTAGTTTTTAATTGATAACCGCCACAAAATTGTTGTGTACGTACTACAGATATCATCCTTTTAAATCAATCTTCAGTTTCAATAATACCTAGTATTCCTTATTCCTAGTTTCCATTCATTCTCTCCGGGTTATAATATTTACTTTCGGTTACTTTATATCAACCATACTACTCCGTTGATGTTCATCTAACTAATTGTCTCCAACATGCTGATGTGTGGTGACCCAGACAACTACAGATTTGCACTGGCTGACGTACACAGTACGAAATGCATGCAGCAAATCTAAAATACAACCTAATAACCACATTAAAATCTACCTACCATAGTATATGCACCACCTATTGTTTTTTGAAACCAGTCTTACTACTGGACCATATTTGGAATAACCCTTGAATTCTACTTTTGTTCCATCTAATCAGGCACTTTTATCCAATCTGTCCTAACACAGCTGTAGTTGTAGAAATTTTGTCGTGGTAACTTAATAGCTTAGGGTTTTTAGAAGCATATTGAGTATCTAACCAATATATTCTGTATTTCTAGCTACGAAGGGGTTGATTCAAACAAACAAGGTTTGAGTTCATGGAAAGTGACACTATAAGTTACGTAATAAGAACTGTAAAAACAAATGAATTAACAAAATAAAATGATTAAAGCTCGAAAAATAACTAGAATAAAGAAAATGAGGCCGTAACTGATGATATAAAACAATATATTATTAGGTCTAATATTGGAGACTTAAGTTACCAGAAAATTCGACACTGACGACTGTATCCTATTAAAGTTTGATTTCAAGCTTTCAATAGTTAAAGGTAATGAATTTACAGTTACTTCTGCGTATTAATTATCTCAGAAGATGTTAAACTATCAACATCATCTCCATTATGAAGCTGTGAATCATTCTCTGAGTTGCGTTCAGGGGCCTTTCTGTTCCATAGTAATAACTTCATCACGTACATGTGAAATGTTAAGCACTATTCGAAGTAAAAAGTGGTTATTTGTTGGTTGCAAATACCTGGAAAGGATCCACAAATTAACTGAATTCATACTATTTTACTACTTTTGTTCTTACACTATTCGAATTTGCAAATGCAAAATATTATATGTGATTAATCTTTCTCTGATAGTAGTAAGAAAATTTATAAAATATGGTAACTAAAGTAGGTCAAGGGTGGATGTATAGAATTCAAATAATCATCAAAAACATTACGTAATAAGCAAATGTGTAAAAATAAAATAAAACAAAAAAAATATAATGTCAATCGTTAGTTACGTCATATCCGGCCACGGAAGAGATAGGGGTGTCACGAATTTCTTCTGAACACATAAACTAGGGTTGAATGTACGTATTCCTATGGCTTCTGCAATGTGTAGGAGACGGGATCGAACTCCGTTGGGAAATGATGGAGGTATACGATAGATCACCCGAAAAGATCTAGATTTATCTACAATGTGATCATTATCTACCAGGTGTGCTAAGATAGAACTGCGTATTGTTTTTGACTGACCCTTCGTAAACCATGCTGGGAGATGTTCACTCATTCTTTGTGTAAGTTGCCTGGAAGTACGCCCGATATAGCTATCTCCACAGGAGCAGCTAAATTTGTAAATGCACATAGAGGAGGCCAGCTCAGGTAACTTATCCTTCGTTTGAGTAGACATCGCATTTCATTGTGATTATCACTCAAATTGCCTTGATTGGTTTAACATTTTCATATAAATATTCATGTATATTAGAGTAAAGCCTGATGACGATCTAACCGAAAACAATATTGTTCGCTTATATGTGTTGTTCCAATTTTCACAATGGGAATCTTTAAAATTCTTAAATCTTTCTCTATATACTGCTCTTTTTTTATCTTGTGAGTTAAGCAAGATCGTTGACACATGGTTTTCTTTTTTTCACAAACTTCAGACTGGGATATAAGTACCTGTTTATGGGATGAATGTAGACGCAAGAAACTCCCACTTCCAGGCGATATGTTGAATCGTATCGATTTAAAGGCAGTATTTCAAGTGAGCAGTGTGTTTTTGTATTTTGTTTTATTTTATACAAAATAGCTTGAAAATGTGGGTAATAACATCATTGAAAACAAAACCAAGTATTTTGATTGGAATTATATTGATTATCACTATTATGCTAAATTAATATCCTTACAGAGAGTGATAAATGTAAAAAACATATACATGTACTTATTTTGTGAGTAGTGTTTCATTTAAGTAACAAACCAAAAACCAATGCTAACAAAATAATGAGGAAAGTAAATGAAAACAAAATAAAACAATAATTACTTACTACTAATTACAGTTTTAATGTACCCAGTCTTAAACCACACTGTTTTTCATAGGTTATAACAATATAACCTGATTGCCCAATATAAAGTATGTAGTGGAGTTTTTTTGAACATGTAATTAGTTAGTTGGAAAAAAATAGTTCATCTACCAGTAAACACAACGGATCCTTCTCTATGAAATTTTCAATGAGTATAATACATGAATTGATCATGAGTATAGTTGTTATTATGTTAACGGATTATTATGAATTCACTAATTTCATGGACTGTCGGTAGTGATGGTAAAATAACCTTGAGAAGAAAATAAACAGAAGTTAATTATAACTGGACAATATTTGTTGTGGTCTAAGTTAAGTTGAGTAATAAAAATGGATCATAGGCTAGCGACCAGCATTCTCCAACCTACACTTTTTTTCTAACCCTCCTCCTTTATTCAGGCTTGGGACAGGCTGTCACCCTAGAGTAGCTCCAAGCGGAGTTATGCCTATAACTTAATTTCCAAGTAAAGTTTGTATTTCTTTACACAAGTTTTAACCATTCTGTCTTGTGAGAAATAAGCATTTATAACTTCATCTTTTGAATTCGAACAAACCTAAATGTAAAGGCTAAACAAGACTAATGATTTCATCGCATCTACTCATCTAGAAATGAAAATATGTTATCATGTACAATTCAGTATATTGGCTATTTTTATTGGTCGTAATAATTTTATTTTTGCGGCACTAGTAGATTATCTTACTAAATTTAACACTACTAATCTTTTCCAATCAATTTATATGTTCAGTTTTCTCGTATGTAACAAGTATTTAAACAACTTGCCAAAAAACGCTAACCAGAAAATGTAATTTAAACTCTGCCGTGGAAGATGCTGTTGTACTCTGACCATGAAGTAGATAATGCCTCAAATACACAAGAAATCGCACTGATGCTCTCCAGAAAAGCACAAACAGCACTTATGGGATGGGAATGTCATGGATCCACGATCATCAATCATCCTTCAGAAAAAAGAATGAGGGGATCACAATGAATATTATTCAGTGCTATATGCCCATGAACGATAACAATGAAGACGATAAAGATCGACTGTATCAGAGACTGCAGTCAGTCGTGAAGAAATGCCCAACAAAGTATTTGACCATTCTAATGAGAGACCTTAACTCTGCAGTTGGAATGGACAACATCGGATCTGTAGAGATTATGGATCGGCGTGGACTGGGATAAAGAAACGAAAATTGTGAGAGATTGGCAAATCCATGTGCCTTCAAGAAAATGGTTATGTGGCACCATATTTCCACACAAACGCATGCACAAAGCCACATGAGTTTCAACGAATCGCACAACTGCACCAATAAGAAATTTAGACGGACCATGAAGGACGTGATAACCAAGAGAGGAGCTGACATCGCTCCTGATCATCAGTTTATGGTGGTCAAGATGAAACTAAAACTCAAGAAGCAGTGGCCAAACTGGTTGAATAGCACCCAAAAGTTCAATACGGCCTTTCGGGATACTAACAAACTCAACGAATTCAAAATAGCAGAGGGTTCAAAGAGGCAATAACTTCAACGTGTCATGAGGTTCTGGGTCATAAGAAGCTTCATCGCTAGGAATGGGTCTCTGTTGATACTGTGGATAAGATTCAAGAAAGGAAAAACAGGGAGACAGCAATCAACAACGTCCGAACAAGAGCAGAGAAAGCCAAGGTACAAGCTGGATACACTGAGGCAAACAAGCAAGTGAAGCGGAGCATTAACAACCATAAATGTAAATATGTGGAAGATGTGGCAATGATAGTAGAAGGAGCTGGGATGCAGCTGGGCCATTCGGTTTTCACAGATGATCTAGCTCTTCTATCCGACACGCAACAACAAACGCAACTTAAGACGACCACTGTAATAGCAGCCTCAGTAACAGTAGGTCTCAGCATGCACAAGGAAAAAATCAAGACCCCCCAATACAACACAACATGCACCAACGAAATCACACTAACGGAAAAGCTTTGGTGTACGTGGAAATCTTCAAACATCTGGGCAGCATCAATAATGAGCAAGGCGAACCGGACGCAGATTTGAAGGCGCGGATCGGGAATGCAAGGGCAGTATTTTTACAATTGATGAACATCTGGAACTCAAAACAACTATCAACCAACTAACCCCTAAGTATATTAGTAGCAAACATACGATTACATTTATTGGTTGGAAAGATTTTTCGGGATAGTCGGTATTTAATTCTGAAGAGAACTATATTAAAACAGAACATTTATTCATCACTCTGTATTTTTCAACATCACTACAACTGACATTAATATCTAAAAGAAAGTATATTCTTTCCATTACAATTACTAGTATTAACCCAAATCAATTTTAAAAACAACAACCTTTTAGATCAGGATTTTTCAAATATTCTTGACAAGTAGGTCTCCATTTGATAATTAAATACTGATTTCTTTTTCCTGTTGTAATTTATGTTATACTTTTAAATTCAGAACTAATACGTCCATATGTTTTTTGTGCTTAGCAATGGCTTGGTTCTCATAAAGTTGGACAAAAATGGCGAGGTGGTTTAAAAGATGCACTTGATTTAGTTGGATTACACTTCAAAGGTCGAGCACACAGAGGAATTGATGATGCTAAAAATACAGCTCGACTACTAAATCATCTCCTTTCAAAAAATATTCTCAATCTGACGAATCCATAAATGATGATTATTTTGTCGGAATCTTTACAAACACAGATATTTTCGATATTCTACTAACTACTCTTATTAATTATGGAATAGTAACTTGGTAAAATGGAATTTATAAACTAACATTGTACAGCAGATGAACAACTGTTTCAGAATTTGTTTTCCGGTTTACAAAATAACTTTACTAAATTACAAATCACTTGTATGTTGGTGTGATTATAAATATCGTTTCATAATTGTATTTCGTACAAGAAGCGGAAACTAGTCGGCCACAACATGAGCAAAGACAAACTGAAAATAATAATCCCTGCAGTAATGGATGACTAAAATTTAGAAAAAGTGTGTAAATGCGTTAGCAAAAGCAGAGGATCAAAAGATGATGACTGGTAGATTCAACAATATTGCTAAAATAAATGACTTGGTCATCCATACAGCTCCCAATTTTAAGTCGTGCTACAGAAATACGGTAACTATTGATTACTGTTGTGAATGGCTATGACAGCGTTCACGCTTCATTGAAGGCAGTAAGTGATTTCGGGGACTTGTACCATATTTCTGTTTGAGCTGTGAATATTCGGCATGTTACTTGGTAAAATACTTTTTCTCTTGTTGTTTACTAAGTAAATTTACAGACCTACCTTGGTTTATGTTGTCATAATAATAGTGTTATGATACGCAATTATTTTCATCTTTGTAGCTAATTTTAGGACAGACTAATATGTGAGTATTTTGCGCAGATTATTACTCAGTAGGAAGCCATTTTATAAGTATGTCTGATTGAGTAAGCTGGGTATGCGAAAAAACAGGTATTTAACTTATAATTAAGTACTGATTCAGAATGCTCGTGGTAAGCAAAACTCTAAATTCCCGGAAACTCCTTTCAATACTACGAAATACCTGGAACCGTACTGAAAGAACAGGAATCGAGCGCAAAGAGATCGATTGGTTTATTACTTGCTCGTGAAAAGGATGGTGGATATTGAGAGGGAGTGCATGTCTTGTCCGAACTATTCGAAGAATGTTCGGGACATTCGAAAATTATCCAGTCGTGGTTGGAAAAACTTGATACAAGGTTGTCTGTCCAAAAAAACATTTTGAGGCTGCTGCCGTACTTCAGTGAGAAAAAACACATTTTTCTGGATCATAGTGGGTATGCGGAATGCACGACGGGACCACTGCCAAAATTTCTCCTTAACACTGGGAAACTGACTCAGAGCCGAATGACTCAAATGAGCCGAAGTTGGGAAGATCGATAGCCAAAGGGGATAGTGAATGAAGAGATGAGAGAACACATGCTCCTCCACGAAACCCACCACGGATTTCAGAAAGGCAGGTCATGCGCATCCAGTCTTATAGCATTGGAGGATTGGTCATCCTGCTAGGACCGGAAAATACGGGTGCTCATATTATTTCTTGACTTTGGGAAAGCCTTCGACAGGAAGCACTCCTAATTGCAAAGGTTACTGAAATGGGCTTCACTGACCCACTCCTATCTTGGCTTATAAACTACCATGAGAACAGAAGTTTCGCACCAAGGTGTATAGAGTGTACGCGAGTTGGCGAGTTTCAACATCGGGATCTCAATGGACCATGTTCGGTCCGCTTCTCTTCTTGAGATTCATTACCTACCTGTTGGACAAAGTTCGCTTGACGGCATTGATCTACGCAGACAATGCAAAGACCTGAAGGTTCATTAGAAGCCAAGAGGTTTCGACTGGGTTCCAAAAGAACATTTTGTCCATTGAGGAATGGGCCGTGAGAAACGGTGTAAAACTAAAACAGCCGAAATGTTACGTTATGTGCATTCTGCCCCCTCTTGACACAAACGACCCACACCCTTAACGAAAGTCCGCTCCCAGATGTCTTCTAAGAGCACGATCTCGGTTTAATAACCACTGGAACCTCCAAACCATTTCGAAATGTGTAAAGGGTGCAGTCAGGGCTAATGCGGCTCTTCACTTAATGAGAAGAAAACTTGGTGTTGTGACCACAGAATTATTCCTGACGTCGTTTAAGAGATGAGAGCCCACACCTGGAGGTTCACAGCGTCGTCACAACCCCTCTTCCTAGACGAGACGTAAACCTTTCGGATCGAGTGCATAGACGGCGACAAACTGGGTGAAGAATGACGCTAGTACTTCGGATTATTCACCCTGAGTTACAGCACAATCAGAGGTGATCTGATTGTATTTATATATGGACACGCCAAACCCTCCAAAAACCTGAGCATCTTACCGATGCATCACCACTGCGCGCCTCGAGGATACCCTCGAAAGATTACGAATTGAAGTGTGAACGCTCATGCTCGTGCACACTTTTTCTCATTAGGAGTCGTTGCAACTTGAAATGTTACTAAGCCGAAGTGACCACAGCCCCCTCAGTGTATAGCTTTAAGTAGAGGCTTGATGAATACGCACTCACATACGGATTTTCATCTTCATAGTGTCTGACGCATGCCTTGAGACTTGCTAGTCGTTATTATCGCCTTCTCCTCAAATCGGTAACTTGATTTATCTCGCAAGTTATCTTTATTTCCTCTCCCCTGCTTACAATTTGATCCTTTTGCACAATCTTCACTACCAATTAATCAGCTAAATTATCTATTTACTTATTTAGTTCTGAAATTTTCTTCTTGTTAGCATTAAAATTCTCGCCTTATTTTTCAACACACCGCAAATTACTGATCTCCGGTTGAGTGACATGAGAGCTGTTGATATCCAGAAACCCTACTACCTTGAAACAAACGTAATCATTAAAATTATGGGACATACAAACTAACAAACACCTGCCTACTGACTAGAATTAGTGCAGTTAAATAGCCAGACTCGCATCGACTGGGCACTACCAAACACCTGAAAACGTAATAAAAGAACAAGAATCGAGAACAAGGAAATCGATTGGTTCACACTAGCTCACGAAAAAGATATTGGATCTTGAAGTGGTCCGTGAGTATCAAAAAGGCAAGTCTCTTCAATTCGCAGTCTTCTAACCAGTGGCAGTAGAGAAATACCTAGGAAATATGTAAGGTTGGGTCCGACTTCAACAAAAAGGCGATCTGACTGAAGTCGATGCGAATCATAAAGAATCTCAAACTAGTCTAAATGCAGTCGTACTTGTCACACCAATGAAAGATGACGAATAGGTACACGTTGTGAAAAAGAACATACTATATATCGGTAAAGAAGTACCAGTTTCCACCACAATAGTCCGGAAGAATGATCACAGTTACAGACTAGTCAGCTTTCATACAGTGAAGGAGATCAAAATTTATGATCCGAAAATCTGCTTCCACTATGACATTTGGTTGAAAAAAGTTCAACTGACGAAGCCATGGAGAAATCCCTGGGTCACTTTGCTGAAAGTTAAAGGACTAAGAAGCTGAACCGACTCACAAAAAATACGAGACCAGGTTACGTAAATTGTATTTGATTTCCACAGTTAGGAGAACTGCTCTATAGAATGAAGAAGGCGTTTTTATGTAAGGACTTATTACTAGCGAATCGAATTAGAAAACGAGAGGTGGAAAAAGAACTAAAATTCGAGTTCGATATTTGCAATAAGGACCTTAGAATCGTAGGTTTTCGGGTAATAGAAATTCGATAGAGAACATTGCTAAAGTCGATTTAGGTGCAGTTTGATGTCATTTAAATGGTCTTGGAATCTGTTGAAAGCTGCTCAACAAACGATCTAAGCTAGGCGCATAGGTAGTCTCAATTGGACCCGACATAACTGCCATCACAGAGGCTCGACGGACTCTTTTAGTAGAAAATAATGATTATGATTTAGAAATTCTCACACTATTAGGGTTGACAGAATCCAGAAGCGTAAAGAAGGAGGAAATACTAGGGTTTAAACACTATGTAGTCTACAACACATCCCATTAAAGTGAGTCATTAAGTGCAAACGGCAGGAGCTGCTGGTTGACTTGGATTCTTCAAGTATAAACTATGAGGTGAATGAGGTCCTGTTAGCCAAGCTTCACTCTCAGTTTTTAAATAATCAGTGATTAGTTTCGGGAGACCCAAATATCGAATTGTTCCACCCCTAGATGATAGTAGCTGCGCGGTTCAAGTCTTTGATACACATATCGTTATCAAAATCGATGAGTCAGCTAAATCGAGGCAGAACACTTGGACGGCAAATATCAAAAAAACATACACTCAGCACCCTCGATGAACCGGAAAACAGAACCAGAGTCCGTCCAACAAGATCGCTTGGAACGTATTCTGAAATTTGCACATAAAACTTCCCCACTGTAGAACGCTGATGAGGTTCGTGCTCTTCTGCATAAGAGGAACAGTGTGCGGGATAAATTTAGGTTTATGAAATAAAACCGCAAGGTCGGGAAGCTAGAAACATCTGCTCCCCGATTCTCTGCAGACGTAGGAGATTGTTTGAAGAGATAGTTGAGGAGTCTACCGGATACCTGAGCCGCCTATCTTCGTAGATAATTCGATAGACTAAGAGAAAATGCATAATTATGGGGAGACGACTATAGGTAGAGCTTAGGCATTCTGAAACTAGTTTAGTGATGGATTTACTAAAGAGGTGCCTCTTCATCTGGTTCATATTCACACTGCGCACTGTGGTCATTAAGGAACTGGATATTTCGAATAAGCTTGACTTAAGTATGTATATGGGACTGGATGAAATGCAACCCATATTATTTAAAGAACTAACACACTTCCAATTCCCCAGGCATATTCTTAAATCTAACTGTAAACTGTGAGGCAACTTACCAAAAGACTGGAAGATCTCCTTAGTGAGCCCAGTCTTAAAAACAGTTACCAGACATAAACCTATAAACTCAAAACCCATAAGCGTAACTAGCGTTGTTGTGAAAATTTTGAAGTACGTAGACTAGAATCAGATTCTTTCCAAGAAATACTATGGTATTAAATTAGGCTATTTGTGGCTCACAAGCCTGATAGTAGCTCGTAGAAGCTGGTGCGCTCTTAAGGATCAAAAGATACTTATAGATTTAGCTTTCATTGAATTAAAAAGACTTTTGA